GAATAGACGCTGGGAGAGTTGTTGCTGAGTAATATAGAGCCGGTGGATGAGATTAGGAGGGCGGGAATTTGAGCTAGAACTGGAACATGTTTCTCGTGCAGTTTGTGCGACAGCTTCGATGTCAAATGTACAGATGGCTGCCGTACCAGGGACGGCTTTAAATTTGTTTAAACCTTTTTTAGACCATCAGCTGCTTAATAAAAGTTGTTCATTTTCTATCAGCCTTTTCAGGGAACGCACTTATTTAAGAAACATCATTTATATCATTGAGTTTTGAAGGGCATTGTACGTACAACCTGTGAACAACAAAGTTTGTACTTTTGATAAGCTCCCGGACGATATAATTCACAAAGGGAGCAATAAAGCCGCTATCTACCTTATCGAGCTCCATCTCGCGGCCGAAGGTGCGGCGGTGCGGGGACGGTTTCCCCCCGTTAGCCACCCCCTAAGCCCTAAAATATTCCATTTGCAGGCAAATATATTTAAAGTTTCCCGAAGTCGGGCCGCGCGCCGTTCGAGTTAATTTTAATTATATTCGGAAGGGAGTTTGGCGGCAGGCGGTGAGTTCGCCCCGCCGCCCGCGCCGGATGTTTAAATTCCGCCATTAAAATATAATCCGGACAGGTTTTTTAGCGATTAGCCTGATGGAATTTTTATTCAAATGGGACGAGAATTGAATCTTCCCCGGGGGGCCTAATCTCCGAATCGTATTTTTATAAGGTGTTTGGGGCCGGGGCGCCGTTGCTCTTGACGCTTGCGGTGGCGGTGCGGATTATCCCGGACGGGAAGGGAAAAGTTATGGTAATACGACGAAGTACGGGGTTTCTTTCGACTAACTCTCTTCGATGGGGTTTTTAATACAGTCCGCCGCCTTTCGAAACAAACTATACCTGAACGTAGGTCGTAAATAACGGACGTACGGCCGATGCAACAGCATTTATTAGCATTTAGAGTCGCCTCGGGTCGTTATGGGTAGTTTAAATGCATCTATTTGCGTCTCACCGTACGTCACATAAATCTAATCTATACAGGGTGTAACAGTTAAGACGGATTCTTCCATGGTTTTGGTACTTCAGTTCATGGAACATCGTTCATTTAAAAATGCCGTAATATACAGGGTGTCCCTGAAAAGGATGGACANTACAGGGTGTAACAGTTAAGACGGATTCTTCCATGGTTTTGGTACTTCATTTCATGAAACATCGTTCATTTAAAAATGCAGTAATATACAGGGTGTCCCTGAAAAGGATGGACAACGCTTGATCACAGGTTCCTTGGATGAAAATAAGACTGTTTAGCCTAACTTACCTACATACAAAAATGCACGCCTACTGAGATATAGCCTTCTAAATGTAGAACAGATAACCTAGTTTTTTTCAAATAATTTAAAAACTGTTTTTCTTAGAAACTTCAAATTTGGTATACTTATTTTTTTATATAAGAGCATTGTAAATATAGAATTTGGTGATAATACATATTGAAATGAAATCAGATATGAGAGAACAAATCAAAATGTAAATCAAAGGTCTATTTAAAAGACAAAGCAGTAAATATGATGGTTTGAAGTGATTATTATTATTTATTGTTAGTATTGAATCAGTATTAGGAATCATATCCGTTACCGATATCTAATAAAAGTTAAAATGTTAGAGTATTTATAAATAGTTATAGTATATGGTATAATATTAAGTAGGAAAAAATATTAAAGGTCAAAGAAGAGTGTATATCAATAAATCAATATGTCAAAGAAATGTCAAAAATTTAAAGTGGGATTCACATGGAATCAAGTAGTAAATAGAAAAGTAACATAAGAGTAGAGAATGAGAAATATTTTGAAGTGGAATGTAAATGGAGATTGTTAAGAAACTATAATAGGGTATAAGTGTAAAGGTTAAGTGAAGTGAGGTGAGTGAAAAAGAAAAAAAAACGGCAAGTAAAAAGAAAGCAGAACGAGATATGTGAAAAGACCTTAACAGAGGAAAAACCAAAATCAAGGTACTTAGTGGAAAAAAATAATTATTATTGATTAGTTACAAGAAATTAGAGAGAGAGACGTCAGATATTATAGAAAAATATTAAAAGAATCCGGAAGACAAGTCGAAGCAGCAGAAAGAAAACGAACTATACACATCAGCAGCAGAGAGAAAGCGGAAAGCCAGCAGCCAAGAGAAAGAAAGACGATCACAGGCGAGGTCCAGGAAACAGGACAAATAAGAGGCCAGAGGAGCAGCATCAGTGGCAGGTTACAAGAAAATTAATCAGAAAACGGTGTAGCAGATAGTGTCCAAGCACCTACTGAAACAGGAAAGGAAAGGAAACAAATAAAAACCGGTATATAAAAAGAAAAGGTACCTTTCTTTCTTTTAATTGTCGTATAAAATTTGTGCACAGACTAACAGTAAAATTCGTTTAAAAACTTGCTATATTTAAAATCAATCAGTTGAAACAAATTTAAGTCAGTGATATATCAAGCATTATCAAAATATTTGGCCAATTATTTAAATTTATAGATCATAAGATTAGATATAAAGAGGAACACATTAAAACAAGAAATTACACGAGTAAATATAAATTAAGTCCAAAAAGGCAACCAGTAATACAGATCGAAATAAATTCTTGTTTTAAGTGGTCAAAACATTGTAAGAACTTCAAAATATTTGACAATTTGTGTGACATTTCTTATTTGAAACATTGATATACTATATTAAATACCAGATTGATATTAATAAATTAATTTAAACATCTCTTGTTTTTAAGTTGTTAGTTTGCATGGTTTCTGGAAGAATACTAGTTTGAATTGAACCAACTCCTGAGCAAGGTCTACAGCTAGCAGGGCAAAGTATACAACCAACACTACACTAAAAAGTAAAATTACAGGTTACACTAAAACTTAATTTAAAATTAATTTGGCGCTCATATAAACACAAGAAAAAGTATCACATAACTACACTATATCAATATATAGGATGTTCTCTTTCTAGTGCCTGTGCGCCACTGGCTATCCCTTAATTTTTTTGTGTGTACGTCAACGACGACAGAATTTGTATTTTTAAAAATAAGCACTATTTTAGAAGATTTTTTGCCTCTTACAAACTTTTGATATCGTTTATGGATTTCGAGTAAAATTGGCATTTTTTACACATTAAATAATATAAAATTGGTTGAAGATAAATAGAATAGTCTAGTACGAGGTGCCACATAACAAAGAAACAAATTCATAACAATAATTAAAAGGTTCAGTGTCAAGCTAGCTGTGATTTAATTTTAGTTTACTTTGTTTTTTACTGCAATTTATACTTTTGCTGAACAAACTGATATGTTATTAGTTTTGGGTTATTGTGAAGGAAATTGTTGCGCTACTGGTCGAACATATGCTGAGTTTTCCTAATCGAAGAATTCCAAATCACAACTTTTAACTGTAACATTAAATCGTGTATAATGTACGGCCGGAACTATTCAGCTCGAGGAACAAATTTTGGAAAGGGTCGAAGTAATTCCTCAAGTAAATAAAAGACGTTTAGCGACAGAGGTTGGCTTTTAAAAAGATCCGTTAATAGAGTATTAAAAGACGAGTTATTACAGGTTACTATACTAACAGGTGGATAGGTATAGGAAATAATGCCCCTTTAAAATGGCCACCTCGATCCCCGGACCTAAACCCATGTAATTATTTCTTTTGGGAAGCGTTGCGCACCACAGTTTATAACTTTTCAGTAAATACAGAAAACGAGTAATGGGAAAGAATACAACATGAAATTAGTGTTATGAGAGGTAATGCACAATTATTGGATAAAATTCCTTTTCATTTTCGAAGAACTAATGCTTGCGTTTAAGAACAAGGAAGTAACTTTGAGCATTTACTGTAATATTATTTTAATGTGATTACAAATATCAATTTAGGTTTATTTAAAATGTTAATGTTGACTTTCTTACATTATTAGTTGATACTGTTTATTTAAAATACTAGTAGATTTTTATTTTATTGATTGATAATACTAATACTAAAAATGTGTAGTTATTTTTTTTAATGTGACGGTTTTTCATTATTATTCCTTGTTTTGAGGCTGCAGTTATAAATTATTTTTTACAAATCGGAGTTTTTGCCTATACAGTGCAACCTCCATTATCCGAACTAATTATTGTAAGGTCTTGTTCAGTTAATCAATTTGTTCGGATAATCAAATTTAAAATGAAAACACAGTTATTTTTCTAAAAACCTTTTTTAATACTTCAAGTTTGTAATTATAATATGGAAAAACATATACAAAAAAATATAAAGACATAAACACTTATTAAACTACATATTAAAGTATGTATACATAAATATATGTACAAAAAAAAGTTAATAAACTACATATTTAAACACATTTTATTTAAAAAAATCCGTTACTTTTCTTTGTGAAAGGGATTTACTTTCTAATTTTCTGGCTCTAATCTGCATCTCCTTTAAAAGAAATATGTTGTGAGACGTTTCGCCATTATCACTGGCCCACGTTATACATTTGTCAAAACATTGCACGGCTTCTCCATGAGTTATTTTGTTGTCGGCAGCTCCTTCGGTCTCATTTTCTTCTTCGGCTATTTCCACATTCTCTATATTGTGCAAGATGTCATTGTCAGTCATTAAAT